TGATGACCTCTCTAAGTCTCCTGGGCATGGAATCCGTCAAATTTCTAAAATAATCTGGCCTTCCTATCAATGCAGCCCAACTTTGTGCAACTCTTTGCTCTAGATCTTGTTGATTATTTGCGGCTCCAGGTTTCCACTCTCTAACCATTTCTGCCCAGACGTTCTCAATAACATTCATGTCTGGAGAGCGTGGAGGCAGAGGTAACCGTCGCAGACGAGGTTGCTGGGCTGTGTACCAATTTCTGACAACATGAGCAGTGTGCACAGGTGAATTATCCTCAGTAACAAAGATTGGATCATCATCTTGAAACAAGTTATTGATAGCTGGCAGAAGATTGTCATTCAATAATTCCAGGTAAACATTGGCTGACATGCGCCTCTCAATCAAAACTATTCCTCCTGTTCCAAATCCTGTCATCCAACCCCAGTATGCCCTGGTAACGTGTCCGCTATAATGCTTGGGTAGAACATAATTTTCATAGTATCGAGTGTTTGGTGGTCTCCAGACACCAACCCTTCCATCTTTGTGAGACGCAAAAACTTTCTCATCCATGAAAATAGTTCTTGCCCAATCATTTTGATTACGAGCCAAGTTTACCCTAGCAAAGTTGATTCTTTCATTCCTGTCATTCACTCTGAGAGCTGTCTTTTTTGCTGCTTTATAGTAATTTAAATTGCTTCTTTTTTTCAAATTATTTCTAATAGTTTTTTCATTTACATCTAAATTTAAGCGCTCTGGTAGTTTACTAACTGGCTGAAATGGATCTGCTCTCATCGCTCCTTCTATTACTCCTAACATTTCATTTGTGACTTTCATCTGTCCTCCATTATGTTTGCGGTTATCATAAGCTAATGTAGGATCTTCACCAGCATCATTGAAACGGTCCCTCCACCTTCGTACTGTATTGATGTTACAATGAAGTTGAAGTGCGATAGCATCCAGACTTAAGCCAGCCTCTAATAATGTTCTCAATCTAATTAAATTTTGCTCTGTCGGACTGAAAGCCATAACTATCAAAACAAAACTAAAAATGCTAGATGCTAAGGTAAAAAGTGAACTTTTTCAAAAAATTGATTAAGATTGTCAATCAGCTAATAATTCAAGAATTCTTCTTCAGCTTCGACCCTGAAATATTAATTAATGTTAAAAAAAAGATGCTTTTATTTTTTATGAACTTGAATTACACATGAACAATTTTATTTTTAAACATATCCAACTCCCATTTGATGGTCTCACTGCAGTGCAAATTGATAAGATGTTTGGCAAGTGTGACCACTCGTTGAACTGTAAAGTAATAATTAGATGCTTGTAAAATAAAAAATCTGCATTGAATTGAATTGTAAAACCGTAAAATTGTAAAATTCAAAGCTTTTTATTTAACAGCACTTACGTTTTATAGAGATTCCATTACTTTTGAGTTTGGTAACGACTCTTTCACTGACAGCAGTTAGTAAATTGATGTGAAATTGAATTGTGCGCTCAGTCTCAACGTAGTTGTCAGTTTCTAGCCAATAATCATATCTTAATTCTACAGATAGATACTCTTGAATTAACAACCGTTTTGTAGTGTATCTGTTGTAATAAGCTAAGGATTGTGCAACTGAAGGGACTGGCATTGTATAATTGTTATTTGAACAATGAACACTTATTGTAAAATACTCTGATGAAATCGTTTATTTTTTGTTTTAAACAAATGAGCTTTTTTAAAGTGAATTTTAATTCGTTTCAGTGACCGCAAAAACCAGTAATGTGATCTCATGACATGAAGTTAATTTCGGAGCAATTAAGGACAAAACATAACCTGCCACAGAAGCACAATAAACATCAAGAAAACATTTATATTTGATTGTTGACTTGATTACGTTTACTAATTTGATTGTTATGCTGGTTAAAATTGAAGCAGAATTGCTGCGCTGCTTTATTTCATGTAAGTTTTGCCTATTTGTTGACTGAGTGATTGAATGAAATTAATTATTGTAAAATATGAATAAGGTTTCCTCCATATGAAAGTTACAAATTTCTATGTAATTTTTTTTTACAGCTTCGTCCACAAGTATTTTGAAGGAAGCGACTAGCTAAATATACAATTGGACTTATGTCCATAACATGGAGCAAATCTTTCGATAGCAACTATGTATTGGATCAGTTATCCATTCGTTAAATTGATACTCAAAATTGTATCGATCATTTGTAATATCAATTAAACAAGTAATCGTGGTGAGTTGAATTGTTCTTCTAACAATGATCATAAACAACTCATAATCTATATTCAATATTTCTATACTTCAGCTAATTGAAAAAACTATTTACTGAAATTTTTCTTTTTATTATATTCTCATTATAAATACTTCTCATTTTACAGATTCTTATGTCATCTACATACCTGTACTGTATGAATGTTTAAATTGAATCTTCAATAATATTGTGATTTCAAAGTTACAAATATCCATTTTATGCTATTCAATATTATAGAATTGATTTTCATAGTTCATTCAGCAATAACGAATATACCCCAATCAGGTAAATCATATTTGATGAACACATTATAATGTGGGGAAATCAAAATAAATCCTCCTTTTTGATATTCAAGTGGTGCTTATTATCTCAAAAATGCCAAGTAATACCGAGTAAGATACTGAAACAATTTGTCCAATCCAACTAGTCATTATAAAGTTAATATCAGTTAACTAGTGCTTAGCAGTATGATAAGTTGAGATTACTATATTACCAAAGAAAAAGCTAATTAGACCGGAGCGAATAAAATTTAAACGATATTATGATTAGCACAGGATCTTTGCGTACTCCAACTGATTCAATGCTGAAGATGGTATATGTCATTTATGGGAAAAATGCAGCAAATAAGAAAATTGAGCATTTATATTAATTAAATTCATCGAATTGTGTTTTGTAAATGGAGAATAAAAAGTATTCTATTCTTAAAATTCTATATTGTATTGAAATTTTGATATTTTTGTAATATTTTGTATATTTAATTGCTTAATAAATATTACTAATTAATTTAAGAATTATTAAAAATTTAACCATATGTTAAATGAATAAATAAATAAGAATTAAAAAAAAATCAATTAATTTTTTCCAGCATAGATACAAATTGACAACTAGAGTGGAAACTTCGTCAGTAAATTTGGAACCTGTATTTGTTTTGATTTGAGCAGTCAAATTCAAAACGTTCCTACAGATTTCATTGCCGGTGGGTGTACATTACAATGCAAAATATTTATGATTGGGCTGACCAGAACGAAGCTCAAAGAAAATTTATTGAAGGCGATAGGATTCTCAAAGCAGGTCATATTATACTTTGCGGAGAAACTTATTCAGATGAAAGTGGTGAGGTTAGGATTCTTTCAGTTTGTTTGCAAACCTCCCATATACGTGATAAGCCACATGAGATACATGGAAAAATAATCAAAGGTACTATTAGTGAATTTAAGTGTTCGTGTAAGGCAGGTTTAAGTGGACAATGCAAACACGTTTTGGCAACCTTGCTTCGTATTTACAGGTATATTAAAAATTTTATTTATAATCAATTATCAATGATATGCCTTCAAATTCTACATCAATCTTTTAAATATATTTGCAGTCTAGATACTATCCAAAAGTTGTCGTGCACAGATAAGAAATGTGAATGGAAGGATAAGCACAATTCATTTTTGCAAAAGTATGAACCAGTTCCACTTAACCAGCATGATTGCTATTCTAAAAAAAGGATATTCGACACAGTTGACTTGAATGACAATCAAAAAAAAGCTATTCATGATTTAATAAGTAACAATTTACCTAACTGTGCAATAGTTAAACATGTGTAAGTATCATGTGTAATAAATAAAATTAAAAAATGTGAAAAAACGTACATCATTATTAATACAGCCAAGGTAGACATTCGCCATATCAACCAAAGCAAGTATCTCTGTGTACACCACAAGAAAAAGCAGCTATTGAAAATATTTTTCGTTTACAAGATCATCCACTGATGGAACAAATTAGTCAACAGAAGTGTATGGTTCCTTACAGCTGTTGTGAAGAAAGTTTATTGAAATTGCAAGGAAATGTGCTTGAAATTTGTGAGGAGACCAAAGTTTATTATGATGCATGGATAAAACAAAGAAGTATACGTATAACTGGTAGTGTATGCTATGGACTGTATACATATCTTAAAAACAGGAATCCGAATTGGGATAAAAAGTTCGAAGATGTATTTTATCCAAAAAAGTTTAAAAGTATTTATACAGAGTATGGAAAAGTTACCGAAGAGAAGGCTCGTAAAGCATATACTAATCTCACTAATTATGAAGTATTATGTCCTGGTTTAGTTATATTAGCCTCTAATCGCTGGCTTGCGTACTCCCCAGATGGTGTTGTTTGTCAGAACAATATTCCTATTGGGTTATTGGAAATCAAGTGTCCTTTTATTGGAAAAAAGTGCAACATAACAGAAACTGTGATGGATTGCGTAGGCAAATTCTTGGAAGAAAATAATGGAATCTTTAGTTTAAAAAAGAAACATCCTTACTATGGACAAGTTCAACTAGGTATGGCAGTTATTATGTTTTAGAAGCAGATTTTGTGATTTATTCTTCTGCAGACGACAAAGTATTTGTTTTGCGAGTTAAAAGAGATAATATGTTTCTCGCTGAAATGCTCAGTCAACTGAAAAAACTATATTTTGATAAGATTATTCACTTCCATTGTATGAAAAAGAAAGCCTTAAATACCTTAAATTAATTTATGTTAAGATAAACAAAGTGATACATGTTAGTTAAATGTGATTGAGCTCTCTTTAAAAAATGATAAGTATTAAAATAATTGCTGTTAAGATAAAAATGATACAACATTTAAGACTAGTGATCAAAGTACAATTAAAACATTCTGTTTATTTCTTACCAAAATAATAATATATGTAATAATACATAGTTCAAATAAGTGTAAAATATAAGCGCACATTGTATTAAAGAATAAGGAAAATTATTATTTTAAAATATTATATTTTCATGAACTTGTCATCATTCAATAAAGCATTACTAAGATTAACTGTAGCACATATAACATTCATTATTTCATCTGCTAAATATACTAAAGCAGCAGGCATTTTAGAACCTAGAATAGCCCAAGTTTTGATTCGCTGATTTGCTCGTTCACAATGTATTCGAGCTGCAGCTATTTTTGACGTAAGAATAGATTCATTTTCTGTAAATTGTTTCTTTTCATGTAAAAAGGGCGGTCGAATAAGTTTCCACCTATTTTTATGGCACAGCTCATCGATTAAAAATCCTCTGTCCACCATCACACCATCACCTGGTTCTAACAAATTTATTAATTTGCTGTTGCTGAATATAGCTGTGTCGCTGGCCCTTCCTCCATATGCAGGACTTACAAATGTAATAAGCCCTGCTGGTGACACACCTGTTAAAAATTTTACTGTTTGCCCACTCTTATAGTAAATATGTATTTAGTTGACAACACAAATTTTTGGATGATTGGATAAAAATTTCTGTACAGTCGAGCACCACTCGAGTGTTTTCAAAGCCTTCAAAGCACATTGGTAAATTTTTAGAAATTTCTTCTCTGGATGGCCATGAAATAGCAGTAGCTAGGATATTGTTTAAAATCTTTATAATCAATTTAAATATTTTCTCAAATTTTTGAGCGTTCACATTAAAAATAAGAGCTAATAATCTGTAAGACATATTGTGCTTTAACGTCATATAAGTCAGTATCACTTTGTCACGAGTTGTTAAATTAGGACTGTCATATATGTTTTTATGGATTTCTTTAATCAATGCTATAATTGTATCGAGGGACTTTATGGTTGGAATGCCAGTGGCTGTAGACATCTTTTCATTCGAGTCTAATGAGTTAGTAAATTTGTAACTATTTTTTTTTTATCAACATTTTTACTCTGTTCGTTGATTAATGATAAGACGATATCTTCTTCCAAATCTCTATTCATATTATCAAGATTATCATTTTTCAGCTCTTGATTACAATAATTTTCATCACTTATATTAAATTCTTTATTATTTACTACTAATTGTTCTGTATTCTGATTCACAGTCACTGGTTGATCCTTCTTTGAAAATTCATTCTGTGAATGATCATGAACGTCACAGTTATATGATATTTCCATATTCTCTATTAGCTGCTTATCTTGAAGAATATTCTGATAACATGCTATACTATCAGATATCTGTATAGTGCTATTTGAAAAAGAAATTGTAGGTCTTTCATATTACTGTAAAAGTCTCCTATTAATTAATCTCTGCAATCGTGCTTTGTTTCTTTGTGCATTTTCTTTCTCTTTTTCAGACATAGGTAGATTAACCGATGGCACTGCTGTCTTTAATAAGGTTTTACGACGAGTTTCAACACCTAAAAAGATTGTTACATTATAGACTAACTCACTTTAACATTTCAACAACAATGATTTTAATGACTTACCAGGTAAAAAATAATCAGTCTCTTTAAAATGATGTGAGCATACTCTTAACCTAGGATATGGATTTTTTATTTTTAAAATTTTTAACCATTGTTTTCGTATGTCAATTTTTTCTGCTTTCCCAAACAAATTATTTCTCAGCACTTGATTCTTATTAGCTACAGGTATCTGGTGAAAAGATAGAGCATCATTGCTACCTGATTGACTGGCACCCGCACAACCTTTCACGCAACAACGTTCTTCTGACTGTGGCATTTTCTAGTTTTGGAGTATAAACAGCTTACTTAACCTCAATTTATATTCAATTGCATTTCAAAGTCTTCTACACCAAATTTTCAATCATTTAAAATTTGTAAAAACACTGTCAAATATACTTATGTCTTCGTAGACTAATTTCCTGAAAGATACTTACATGATACTTATTTAAATAATTCAAATACCGTAAGCCTACATAAGCTTACATATACTCTCACGATTAATGTCGGCCATTTTTATGTTCTATATATATGGTGTCTTATTTCCCAATAGACTAACCAAACACGAGCGTAAACTAACCTCACATTGTATCGTTATAGTGAAGAGGATATATGATATACTCGTTTTTGTCGCCGATACACTAATCAATAAATACATTTGTGGTTAAAATTACATTAATTTGTTATACATTATTATCCAGCCAACTGATGATGCTAAGTCAGTAGAAGTTAACGTTACTGATCAACCGGCAGAGGCTAACATAAGTAATGACTTAGGAGACGATGAAGATATTTTTCCGAAACACGTTGAAGTTCAAATTACCACAGTAAGTTTATTACTTCAACTCAGTTTAATAGCATCCTTTTATGTGTGAATGTTTCTGCAGCAATATGTTATTCCAGGGCTTAAAAGAATATTTACAAAAGACAGCCAACGGGAAAATTATTTTCAAAGCGTACAATAGATGTTTGGCTGACCAGTTACCTCTACCGCGAAATATCAAGTCACTATTAACGCGAGAAGTAATAAGTAGAGAAAAAAATTTCTACGTACGAAATTTAAAAAATGACGAAGTTTTAGAGAAATTTGAGTAAGTGTAGTTTTACTAACTTATAATAAATTAATAGTATGAGTAGTAAATAATTATACTAATTTTTATAATTTCAACTTTTTTCTTTCTCAGAATTAGAAAGGAGCGTTTTCAGATACTTGCCAAAGAAATTTGTTCGATATTTACTTTTGAACATCCTAGCGTTTATTACATACCAGCAAGTATACAAGGCAAAAAATCTTTACCAGCAAATGGGATATTGTGGCATCATTTTAATTATGTAAAAGCAGTTTTGACGGATGCAAAAGTACTGCATCATAACGTTGACATTGAACCGTTTCGCGCTCGTCATAATATTCTTCAACAACCAGATTCATTAGAGAGTAATATTATGTATTATTTAATAGATAAGCAATTTCTTTTCATCTTTATTCTTTGAAAATCTTGTCTAAATAGCCTTTGTAATTTTTCAGACCAAGAAGATATTCAGTGGCTGAATACCAATCTACAGCCTTGGGATGAAGTTGTTCAAAGATGGCAGAGATCATACGATATACGGATGATTCTATTGGCTCAAGATAACTCCGTGTACGATTATATTCAAAAATTTGCTTGTTTAAAAGTACAAAGAGCAAAAGAACTGGTGCGTTTATATATTATTAATAATTTTATAAACAAGACATATAACGGATAGTCGAAAAATTATTATTATATTTTTTTAGTTTTCTGTTATGTCGCGACTACGTAGCCGTGACGTGTAGTTTTAAAATATGTATGATCATTCATTTATTAGCAAATATTATAGTGACAGGAACTTACCTGGGTTATTATTTCGAGTTAAGTTGGCTGTTTAGCTTTATCTTGATAAAGTATATATGAGGTCGGTCGGTAATGATGCACGAACACTCGATTCAAGTAATTATTTATTTATTCAATGACAGAAATGGTTTCTCAAAAATAAAAGTAGGTGAATTATACGTTGTTCGGCTGTCGCGCGTCGCGAATCAGCCCGTAAGAACTTTAACAAATTTTAATGTTATTGAGTAGTCGCGCGTCGCGGATCAACTGCCGAAAAGTCGAGTCTTCTGTTTTTATATTGATTCTTCGGCCCATATTAATGTGTTGAGTAATCAAAAAATCGAAATGTCGGGCGCCCCAAATTTTCGGACTACTCATCTTTTAATTTCGCTGAGTTTGTATTTTGTAAAAATGTCGTTCGTTGTTTATACATTATTTCGTTTGCTGATGAAGTCAAAATGAAGAAATAGTTACGTCTCGGGACGTAACACCTCCGTGGCTAGATCGTTGTATATCGGTGTGAGGTAAAATGTTTCATTTCTTGAAATGACTGGAAGTTGCGAGAAACATTTGTCTGTATGAAGTAGTTGAACTTCTGTAGGCGTACATTGTATAATATGTACGGCTTCCCCTGCCAGGCGAGCTATGTACCCGGGCTTCTCCATGATGTTGTACGCAAATTCATCTGGTGAGAGGGATGCCAGGGATAAGGAGTTATATAGGACTTTCCTTTCCAATTCACATTTTTGTTGCAATATATCTATATAGAGGCTTTTTATTTCGACCCTGAAATGCTTTTCTACATACACAAATTTGCTATTGAAATACGTGAATAGATCATAGTTAAGTATCCCTTGCTTCGTTTGAATATCATTGTCGTATAAAATATTGAATTGGGTTCGTTCATATATAAAAAGTTTTGGATGTTCAGTTGTTATTAAGATTCTGTTGCAAAAACTCATGTTCCCTCTAGTTAACAATGCAAAGGATACTTCGTTCGTACTTATGCTAAAAATGGTTTCATGATCGGGTGAGCTTATTTTAGTGACCGTTCCCCTATACAGTATATCGTATTAATTTTTGAAACAGTCTTCGTGCGGTAGTAATGACCAAAAGGTATAACCTCCTTCCATATCGATACAATGTTGGTCCGAAAACTTACATACTGTACCCGAATTTAATCTTAATCTATCATTATTTAATTCGACTGCTGCATAGCTTTCTAACAAGGTTATTTTTATAAGTCCCTGTACGAGAACATCGCTCCACGTACCAAATCGGTCGGCGTAGGCTGCCCCTGAACAAGTTTTACCCTTAACGTTTCCTGCTAGATCTAAACCTACACTTTTTGTCGAGTTAATCCTTAGGTCGGCAATTGTGTGTGCGTTATCATATTTAAAAATACCCGTATCATGTATAGCTTTACAGTTGTCGTGTGATATTTCGTAAATGTATTCTTGGATTGAATTTTCGGTTGGGCCTAAATGACTAAACATACCGCAATGAAAAATTGTTCGCCTTATTTCTATTTTACATTGTATAATTTTCATTGATTTGAATTCCGTTTTTTGTAATAGTTCGATAGTGGCTTAATTGATTTCCTTCAATTTTTTCTTGTTCCTCTCCTAAAAAATTTATGCTCCCCGCGTATACAAATTCATTTTCATTGACGTTGAAATCTATATTTTCCGTTAGTTCAATACTGTTTGGAAAGTTTTCTAAGTCGAAAGATAAATATTGATATGTTTGGATTTCTTCTGAAACAGTATTTTCCGAAGGGAATTCTATTCCTATATTTTCTTTTATAACCGATATAAATTGTTTATAATCGTAATTGTCTGCATAATCATCCTTTGTGTTAGTCATTTCATCAGTACTCATTGCTACATTTATATCGGTAATCATGTGCTCTATTTTGGAAGGGTCTTTCTCTAATTCAGCTTCCAAGTTCGTTATTCCGTTGGAAGAAAAAGGTATTAGTAATGAGTTTTTACAATTTTCGATCTCGCGTTCTACTTTTAAATCTTTGGCAGTCATTATTTCGTTATTTATTTTATCCGTTGTTGTTGTGCAAGGAAATGTAACAGATTCGGGGTCCTCTAGTATATTTTCTCTTTTTAGTGGATGAAATTTGTTATTTTCCTCAAAGATTTTCGATTCTTCGTAGTGTTTTTCTTTTTCGTTTTTTGTTTTATTTTCCTTATTAATGCCATGTAAAATTTTACTTAAAAATCCCTTTTGTTCTTCTGTTATCCTTGATTCCTCTTTCTTTTTGTTTTCGGTAAAAACGATTGAGTTCATTTGAGTTAACGGTATTGATATAAGTTTTATTTTCCTACTATTTATTTCCAAATAACCTTCATCTAACCTTAACTTATTTTCTTTCAGAACAGGTATGCCAAGAATGCCATCATAAGGGATTGAAAATTCTCTTGTTACAATATGAAAATCAATTAACAACCCATTAATTGTTATTTTTATCAAACCTAATGTTTGAATTGATTTATCAGTAATACCGGATAATGAAATTTTTTCTGAGTCCAAAATAGCGTTTGATGGTATACAATCGCTTTTTATGATATTGATTTGAGCTCCGCTATCTATAAGTAAATTAAAATTAACACCCGAAAACGGATTCGGTACCTGTATGTATTGTAACAAATTTTTTAACTTTAGATTTCCTAAATGTATTTCACATTGGCATTTTAGTTTCAATGATACTTGTAAGTTCTATATTGCCATTACATTCATTATAGAGTTTCTTTTGTTTGTCATTTCGGAGGCATACTTTGTTATTTTTTTTCGTTTTGGTTTGCGACTCATATTGTCTTGTTAAATTTAATGCGTGAGTTTCATTTTGATCATCAATGTCCATTTTTCGTGTTGTCGTTATTTCGTCTCTTAATTCTGCAGCGAGTGACTTTTTATTTGTTTCCTCCGTGCACTCATGTTCGGAAGAATCTATTCGTTTCCCTGATTATTACGTCTGAAACAAGTCGACTCTGTATGATCGGTACGTTTACAAATTGTACAAAATTTTTCTTGGTTATTTTCTAGTGATTTTATAATTGGACATGATTCGACTTTATGACCTAATTCCTTGCAATAAGTGCAAATACTAGTGGTTTTTGCGTTTCTTTCTAAAGCTCTCAATTTCAAACAATTGTCAATTACATAATTATTCATGTGGCAATAATCACACTTAGTGTCATTATTTCTTTTCCCAAAATTATTGAATCGTGAAGGTCCGTTATCGTGATTAAAATTTCCATTTCTGCGTTTATTGTCACTAGAATTTGTATTTGAACTGATTTTATTATCGTTACTTCTATTGTTCTTACTATAGCTAACCAGGATTCTTGCCAATTCACAATTATTTGCTTCATGATTTTTTTCTTTACAGATTGTACATATTGCAAATCTACGTTCT